CCACTGCCACTGCCACTGCCACTGCCACTACGACTATCAGTACTACTTTTACTACTACAAAAAACAAACAACAATAATATAAAACCGTTTTTTTTAAACAACATACTCTCACATTTTTTTCTCTGAATTAACTTATACAATGCAGTATACTAGTAGCCAGCTTATGGACGCCCTATTGCCCAGTTCTTGTATCTGGAAGACACTCCCTATTTCGATTTCATGATCAATATCTTACTTACAAGGTGCGAAGTTTTAAGTTGTTTCGAAACAATTTTTGTGATAGACTTGATATTTTGTTACCTTGGAGGTACCTAGTAAAACAGAAGTAATTAAATGTCCCTTTTTTAATCGTAAATACCGCTGTGTTTTATGGCTAATTTTGATTCGTTTTTACATACTTGCAGGCTCGGTTAGGAGCATATCATTAAAAAATAGCTTGACTCTTAAGCTTAGATATATTCAAATAGCCTGTACTAATTACTCTGGAAAAATAACCTTGACTATAACAGTTATAAAGCGAGTACAAGGAAACATGAACCCAGATTCTTGGGTACTAACTTACTATCGGCAAATGGTACGCGCGTCTACCAGTCTACTGAAACAACCAAAAAGGGCGGGAAAAGTGGAAAACTGAGTTTTCCGAACTTTCCGGTTTTTACGCCTAAATGCTAAGTACCCTTCATCTTTAAAAAAAAGTAATAAATGCTACAAGTTACATGTAAATATCGAACTAGGCTATTACATACAACTTCTGAAGATTTATCAGGTTTTGGAAGATGTCTGGATGCAGGTAGGAAATTTTGTTGTATTCAAGCTCTCTAGATATTAAAAAAAACATTTATTAAACTAACTAATTACACGATAAAATGGCATTTTATTTAAGCAAATGACAGCATAGCATTCAAAGTCAGTGCGAAATTCCAAAGGCTTCATATTTGTCATTATAAAATAACTGTTATAAATCTCGCGTTCTGATTGGTTAGGAGCGCGTGCTATATGAGAGCACATTGCACGCGCGCGCACTTTCCGTTGCGTCATTCCTATCTAAAATAATGGTCATTGTAATTTTCATTTTATAAAAGAAATAAAAATCTTACTTGCTGTGCTTTGTGCAGTTATAACGGAAAACTCGAGAAGTGTCGTCGTGAAGGCATCGTGCTTTTTCAAACACTTCTTTCGTGTTCTGCCAACCCTCGCGTGCTCTATAACTGCACACAGCACAGCAAGCGCGTTTTCTATTTCTTCAGCAGTGGAATACTTTACGGACCTCATATCACAGAGTCACGACGTTTTATCAAAAACTTACAGATATAAGAGATATGTATTGTTATCGAATATCCCAAGAGGCAAATAGGAGAGCTGATTAGCACCCACGCTTCTAAAAAAGAGACAATTATTAGTTAGCATAATTATTGCAGTGTAATTTATTACAAATCTTTCAAAACGTTTGTTCGGAATCGTCACTTCTTTTATTCTTTGCATGGAAAACGCAATCAGTTATAAGTATATATTTAACACTAGAAAGATGAGGCAGTAAGCCGTGTAGGATGGGCTCGGATATCAAATAAGAACATGCGTTAATAGGTAAATTACGAGCCTTAGATGAAACGACTGAAGAAGAGTGCCATACAAGCCTTTCACAACTTCAAGTCGCGTATAAAATGAGTCAGCTCAACTAGAAACCGTGGACGGCTGTTTCGGCCTGTATTGGGCCTCGTCAGCACAGTGTATCTAGTGAGCTGGCAATCCCACGAAAAAGTAGTACTAGATAGATGAGGCAATAACTGTATATTTAACAATTCATTCGCCAAAGGCGAAGTGAYCATCAGTAGAGTATTTACCGAGCCACGAGTCTTCACAATAATCACTGACTTTGAGGAGAATAATTGTTTTGAATAACRATTTTAGACTTGAATACAAGAGAAAATCAGAAATTAGAAATCCGTTTCTTTTCCTTTACCGAGTGGCCACTGATCGCGTGGCGCCTTAATGATTTCTATGTCGTTAAGTTAAAGGGTCTCGTCATGAACAGTTCCACTTTTGTTTTGGAGTGACTATAGAGAAACCCCTTCTTCCACCGGTTCCAAAACTTGTTAAACTCTTTTGCCAAGTACTGGACGCGGCGCGATCTTTGTTTGAGGTTGATCATGTCAGCTTGCTCGCTGGATTAATACTCCTCCCAGACTACCCGACATTCACCATCAGTGAGCGAGTTCTTTTCTTGCATTTAATCGATTATCTGGATCTCTTCTTGACTATCAGTGGTGCGATTTCTCTTTCTATTTTGCATCCGCCTCCTGTGCGCTGTTTCTGGTCAACATCGTGACTTTTTACGTTGGCTCGTAGCTTGGTGACGTATCTCATTCATACTTACATTGCTGTTCAGTATATGACGTTGTGCCAGTAGTATAATCTTTCTTTTTCTACTTTGGAGTATTGATGCGAATTTCTTGGCAGCGTCGAGTTAAGTGACAAWAAGTTGTGTCCTTTTCACTTCTGGATTGACATTTGGGATTCTAGGATTGTTCTTCCTCTCCTGTGAATGGAGSCTTGATCTGTGATTGCCAAAGAAAGTCTGGTCTCTTAAGGCCTGCTTTGTAAGAATGCTCTCAATACAGCTTTGAGTCACAGACGGCTCTAGAGAGGCACCATACGTAGAATACTCTTACCTTTACTAAACAAATGCGCCGGCGCTGTTTATTTTTCACACTTACATTCTAAAAAGTAGCTTGTTGTTATCAAAGATTCCAGCGGGCAGTGATGTTATTTTGTTGTTGATTAATAGTCTTAAATATAAGGGAGAAAATCTGGTCAATGACAGACAAATTTACCATAATTACGGCAAACTCTCATACAGACATTTCACATTTTCTTACAAATCTGCTAGGTTTCTGTTTTTATCAAAGATTCCATCCGGTAAGTTTGTGAGATGATTATGCCCCATATATCTAAAAAAAGAATTAAGAGWAATGTGAGTTTATCATGATACGTTATTAAAATAGAAGCACAGGCAGCCCAATTTGGGTAAAAGGGAAATTTTAAATATTTTAATGGATTTTTTTTCTCGCTATACACTACTGCACACCAGTGCCCGTTTATGCAAAGGGTGGAYAGCGCTATCCTTATCCAGTGGATAGAGTGATGCGGTTATTCAATAAACTTATTCACTGGATTGGATTTATCAGTCGGATAGCGCTATCCACCCTCCCAGGGGCGGATCCAGGATTTTTTCAAAGGGGGGGTTGTAGCATTGATTGAGATGGTGGAGAGATATAGCATAC